ACAGTCAACAGAGCATCTGAACGAGCAGTGTTCTGTTCTGACAAAAGCAATATGATTGAATTATCATTTGCAGGTTCCAGTCTACGTGTACAAATACAGACAGATGAAGAGAGAGAAAGATGCACAGAATGGCAGGAGGGGGACACAGAGGACAGGCGGGATGTCAAAGAAGATCTGGCTGTTCATTCATAGACTAATCGATTCACAGGAGGAAAGTGCTAAGAAAGCATCTGCAGGCTTTCTCTGCTCCCCAGCAAATTACACACTGATTGATATGGATCCCATAGCCACCTAGATTCAGATTTATGAAGTAAATCTGTAGACACACACACACATTCAAAAGCACTGCACATACAGTATACACAGCTCTGTCCAGGGATGTAATTTTCTGATTTATTTTATGGTTTATCTTGTGAGCCAAGACCTAAAGGCTCATAGTAAATCCTCTTTTATACACAAAAACAAACACATATACTCAAATAGACTGACTCTGACAACTTCGTAAGAGATTTTAGGGCCTAAATTAGGCATTACTGCGGTAACACTGAAAAAAAAAAACTAAGAGAAATCTACCCTCTACAGAAACAGACAGCGCCCCAATTAATTCAGATTGAGCCTGGAAAGAAATAACTGTCATTTAAGCACCCCTGCTGTTATAAAGCCCAAATGAATACCAGCATGCACCTGTTTGTGTGTGTGACTGAGAGAAAATAGAAGAGAACGAGTGAAAGGATAGATGGACACCCCTCAAGGTTACCTGTCAAAGCAATGTCATTGCTGGAGGCTGGCGTATCCCATGTTGCCATATACTGCGGATTAGATCTCTGGCTGATGTTGACACACTCTACGTTTCCTTCTTAAATAAAACCCTCCATCCAATCATCAACACACTGTCACAGAACCATTGTCATCGTCAGCCAATCACAGGACAGTTCACATTCACATTAAAACAATTATACAGTATGATGGCAGAACTCTCCTGAGGTTAAATGCACTCAGAGTAAGAAGCAAAAAAATAATTTAAAATAGGAATATTGAGGTAGTATCACACGGCAATCAAAAATTCATAAGCTGCAGTTATAATGGAAATATGTCCCTGATGATTTTACTGTTACAGCTATAAATTTGACAATTTAATAAGCTTGGTGTTTTTTTTTTAATACAGCCCGAATTAAAGTGCTCTCTAGACCATAAACTTTTGTTTTGTTTACACAACTGCTCAAAATTTTGGGGTCAGGGAAAGTTTGTGTTTTTGTGAGAAAATTGTGATTTTATTCAGCATTAAATGAATCAAACGTGACAGTAAAGACATTTATAACAAAGGATTTCTTTTTCAAATAAATGCTGTTCTTTCTAAATTTCTATTCATCAAAGAAACCCGAATAAATGTATCATGGTTTCCACAAAAATATTAAGCAGCATAACCGGTTTCAACACTGATGATAATTAGAAATATTTCTTGAGCATCACATCATCATATAATACTGATTTCTGTAGGATCATGTGACACTGAAGAGAAGACTGGAGTAATGATGCTGGAAATTCAGCTTTACCATCACAGTAATAAATTACATTTTAAAATATATTAAAATAGAAAAGTTATTTTAAATTGTAACTTTACTGTATATTTGATATGCAGCCTTGGTGAGCATAGAGACATAATAAATCTTACTGCACTTAATCTTTTTACAATTAATAACACACAAGTTGTTTTTGCACAGAAGTACACTGGCCTGTTAACCTCTGCGTACTTTAGTCACTCTGAAAATCATTCTGACACTAGAAATGGAGGTTTAGTAATTTCCCGTTATCATTCTGTCATCTACAAAATGACCACCGGTCATCTCTCATTTGAGACTGTAAGTGTGGTTCTATGTGATAGAATCTCACTATTATATAGAGAGCCTATTTCTCAAACGCTGCTAAGCTAATTCAAAATTCATACAGCTATGAAATGACATGTGAAGAAGGGGCATAATGTAAACCCTTTCTCAATCTGTGGCTTTATATTCAGACTGTAATATCATTTAAGGGTTGTTCTCTACAAATACACACAGTGAAAAATATACAAAGCATCACCAGTACACTATTACAGGTCTTCGGGTTATCACACAGCAGCAGAAAACAGCTGTCAGTCCTGTTTGAAGTGCTAAAGCTGTTCTGCTCATAGACATTTTACAACATAACCATATTTTTCACCAAAGCCACACTAACAACCTTACATTTTCAGCAGTCACAAACACATTTTGAGAACAAGTTGGATGTGCTTTGTGGGTTATATTTTTTGCTGTCAATAAATATGATTAGGGAATGGGGATGTCAACTTCTTTCAGTTTATTAAAAGATTGTGTGGTTGTAGAAAGAGTCAAAACTCTCATTAACATTTTAAATGTCCCTGCAAGAAATGGTTAAAGTGCCCCTATATGGTTTTTTTCCCCCGAATATTATCTTTCATGATAACCATCATCATGCATACTCAAACACTCTTACCATGAGAATGAAACTAGATCACACAAGATATCCTAAAGTCTTCAAGTTTCATCCAGGAACTCTATCTCCTTCATCTCTCTATCCCTTCCTTTCATCCTAGTAGTGCTTTCATCCCCCTCTTTTCTTTCATCTCCACTTTATGTTTTCGTTACACCCACCTGTCTTTCTTGACACCTATTTCTCCTTTTCATTCCTTGGAGCACTGCTCTTACTCTCTCTATCCTCCACACCTTCTACACCTCCACTTTCTGCACTCTTCACTCTCTATTTAGCTTTCTTCACGTTGCTTCTGCCATATTTTCTTGTGAAATGGGTAAATAAAAGGGGGCTGAGAAAAAAAGAACCAACTTTGGACCATGGTAGCTGGTTTCTAGCTGGTCCATGCTGCTGGTCCTTAGCTAATTGTTTACTTATCCAAGCTGGCCATTAGCTTGTCCAAACTGGTCAAAACTAGTGATTATCTGATCATTAACTGGTCCAAGTTGGTCAATAACAGGTCAAAGCTGGTCATTAGCTAATTAATAGCTGGTCCAAACTGACCGACCAGTCAACATCTTTCAAAAAACAGCTTGACCACATTAAATAGATATAGTATCTGCTTGTAACTGGTTTGTTACTGGTATAAAAGTCATGTAAAGAAATACAATTAATGAATATACATTTTTCTAGTTATGCCAAGGTCTAAAATATTTTATGGAGTATAAATTGTGTGTAAAAACTACTTTACATCCGAATGACTGGAAAAGTCATGGGCCCTTTAAAAATTGTTGTTGACAATGGGGGTCACAGCTACATTTAGGGTATTTAGGAAAAGAAGGAATAGAAGGACTGAATTTGCAAAATGTTCTCAGACACTTGTTCTCCCATTCTTCGGATTATCTGTTGTGTAGTTCATGCAATGAAGCACCAGTGTTCTCCATCCTCTGCAATTCCTTCTTTTTTAGGCATATCGGCCCTCCCTTTCGTGCTTACCAAAGCTGGTCTGTCCCAAGAGAGTGTGGGTATGCCTTCAGCAGCCAGTCTCCTTCTTTCTTACTCTCTGCCTGCCTTCCTCAGTCTCACTTCAAGCAAGCATTTCCCTGGTTTCAATCCATCTCTCATCTGCTCTGTATATGCGTTTTTCTCTGCTGAAGATTTTTTTTATGTTCTCGTGTAGTATTTCTGTCTCAGGCCTCATACGAAATATTCCTATCATTCTTGTGATGCCTTATTTCTTCTCCCAGCAGACTTCAGGGACAAATGCCTCTAAGCTCCTCTTTGTCCATCTCTCGTTCTTTGGACTTTTCTATCTTTTTTTTTTTTTTGCATCCATTTTGCAGCCTCCTCTCCGCAGAAGTGACTTTGAAACTGTGATACAAGATCAAAGAGGAATCTAAAACTAGATTTTTATATTTTCTCAAGAAAATGCAAGTGCTTATCCAGGCAAAACTCACCACCACGATGCTACACTGATGTGGGTGGTTGCCAGGGTGTTGCTATATGGCTGATAGGGTGTTCTGGGTGGCTGCTTAGTGACCCAATTCATAAGAGGCCTTTAAGGGATAGTTCACACAAAAATGCAAATACTAGCGTCATATACGTACCCTCATAAACACAATAGAAAATATTTTGAAGAAAACTATGAAGACTATGACAATCAATGGGGTTCCAATGTTGATTTGGACTCCACTTACTCTCACTGTATGGACAAAAACAACTGAATTATTTTTCAAAATATCTTTTTTGTGTTCCACCGAAGAAAGCCAGTCATACAGGCATGGAACAGCATAATGGCGAATTTTCAATTATGGTAAAACATCTTGTGTGTGAATATGTTTTTGATTGTTTTTATAGTCCAACAGGTAAGTCCAAATGCTTGCAGTAATAGCAACTTCTAATCAACAAGCCACATAATTTGAGGTTCGTAGCGCAAACAATCCAAGGCAAGTTGCTCAGCTAAGTTTATTCATCAGGGTTCAAATAGCAATTATATTCACAAGCACCACAAAATTCTCTCTCACCACTTGCTCACACACTCACTCCAGGTTTAATGAGTGTGATGCTTCCAACTGTTATTCTTACATGGCCACTGAAAGCTAAAATGCAAAACCACAAATATACACTCTCTCACACACACACACACACACACACACACGTTCACGCAAAAGCATCATTACAATACGGTTGTTTTCCCCCTCTCCCTCTTTCCCATCCTTCTGTTTCTCCAGGCATGGATCCCTCAATTCATCTCTGAGCTTCCACACCCACTGAGCCAGTCTTATCACTCCCATCCCTGGATACCCTGCTCACCACCAGAGCCTTTAGATCTCACAGATACTGAGCAATCGGCATGAACTACCAAAGGATCAATATGCACACAAACACACACACACCCTCCAACCCCACCTTGCCCCACCCTCTCACCAAAAGCAAAGGGGGGGAAAAAGCAGCGAATGAGGAAAACAAACACGGCAAAAAAACAACAAAAAAAACCTGCTACATAAGAACAGATAAATACAAGGTTGACATACCTTGGGATGGTGCATTTCCCATAATGCCTTCACCGCGCTCCGCTGCCTACAAGAGAGAGCCACCAGCCTGCTTCCTGATCCACCCTCCTGGTCCTCCTCCTCTCTCTTGTCTTCACTCCGCGTCGTTAACCTCTCCCGGAGCCGGCCGCGCTTCTATTCGCTCCTTTTCTCCTTCCGTCCCTGCCTTCCTTTGTCTTGCTCTCTCCCTCTCTCTCGGCGCGCGAGATGGGCTCGTTCTCTCCAGCTGGTTCTTGCAGGCAGCAGCGCCGTACGCGTGTGAGGCGACGATGTGTGTGCGCGCGCGAGTCAGGGAGAACGAGCGTGTGCGGTCGTGTGTGCATGTGTGTACGTCCTTGCTCGCTCCGTGCTATTGAGCTGGCTTACAAGTGTCGGGGAAGCAGCAAAGAGCTTTTACTAAACACACAGCTTGTACTAAGCAACAAGAAAAAAACAGTCAGTGATATGATAGATTAACATGGTTTTGTTGTTCTCCTCTTGCGCTCTCTCTCTCTCTTAAAGGTACAGTCTCTTATCTGCAGTGATTGTGCTAATCTCTTTCCTCTTTGGCCTTTTCTCTTTCTCGGTCTCCGCAGACTCCTTTGTAGAGGAATATTGGGAGCTCTAGGGATCGGAGCTCTCCATGGTGCTGAAAGTCACGCGAAGGGCCATAGAGAGTGATGCTGAGGCTGGCTGGGGGAGGGAGGAAGGGGGGGGCATGGAGGTCCCTCTACATACTCAGAGAAACCACCAGGAGGGTAAGGTGACCAAATTTAACATGGTCACAAATAAATGTGGGAAGAACTTAAAGGGATAGTATCCCTTTAAATGATTTAAGATAATGACAGTAATTGAAGTATGAGTGAAAAGCATGAGGAAACAAATTGTGATAATGATCCTGTTTGCATGAGGGTGTAGTGGGAGCCTGTCGTGGAAGTGTCAAGGAAGTGTTGCATGATTGCCATGAAACATGGCGAGGTTGCCATGACAGCAGAATGTCCTTCTGCATGGGAAGGGGAGTTTTTTTTTTTTCAAGTTAGCAGATAAAACTGATGAAGGACAGGACTCTGTGTCCATTAGGTGCAACACACACAAAAATCCTTCTCTCATACACATGCACAAAAACATAGACTATAACGATGTCAATAAACAGTCACACACACACTCTTTAAAATCAGTTGTTTACCTATGCCACCTTCTCTAACATAATGACTATTAAAATCATCAAGGTCGTCCAAAGGTCACATAAAACAAATTTGTCCTAAGGGTACAATTCAAGAAGTTTGAATACAAAATAGCCACACAGTGTGAAACACACTGCAGGTGTGTGACAGCTGGTCAGGAGATATTTGTTGTTTATTGTACAGCAATGCCAAGCGAAACTTTTGGACTAATGAGATTTCACTGTGGATGGGGCTACCCAATGCTGCAAAAATAGAAACCAAGTGATCAACAAAATTTCCTGTCACAGTTGCAGGTAGTTAGGACAAAAGCTCAGAGCTTTCATTGCTTGTCACATGTAGAGGACACGGTGTAAATGTGACATCATGCACTACGGGAGTAAAGACATGGGACAGATGGTGGAAGTACATGAAGGATCATGCAGAGAACACATAAGCAAGCACATGCTAAGACAGCACATCATGGTACATGGACAAACCAGGGACACTGGGTTAACATGCATGATATTAGGGTTCCATAACATTATATTGAAGGCCATACATAAGTTCTGTTCATTCTAAGTTATACTTTATCAAACTAAGGAGTAAGGACATGATATGAATCTGAGATCACATTGATGATACACCACTGATAGGGGTGTAACAATACATCGATATGGATCCATACATCGATCAAATCACAAACGATATGATCAGAGGCGTCATGCCCATTCAAACAGGATTTTTGAGCCAAATAGATTTTGAATGCAGCTTCCATATTTTGTTGCATTTGATTCGATCTCACAGGTGTGATTAGAACGTTCAGTGTGACACATTATCAACTGCTAAATTCAAATCTGCATTCGTGCTTTGGCTGGAGGCAGAACCATGGAAAGTGCCAATATTAAATCCTTTCCAATGGCTATAATTTGACGACATGTTTTAATAATATTAGATATAATATTAACTTAAAGTTAACTTTTCCTAGTTAAACGGCCACTTACTTTCATGCCTTTTGGGAGAAGTGAATAAATGTAGCAGACAAAATCCGTTGTAAATCCGACAATTCTGAATTGCAGAGGCACCCATCGCCAGTTATAGATCAACTAACATTTCATTAGTCAATAAACTGGTGTTTTATAGATTTAATTACACGTAGGCCTATTTGAGAATGGGAATATCAGATCTTTCATGATATAGTTAACAAATATTTTAAATTAAAAAAAGGAAAATTAACTAACAAACAATAGTCGAAGTTATAATAGGACAAAGTTAAAATATGCTACTTTATTATATGTAAAAAACAACAACAACAACAACATTACTTAGTTACTTTTTATGGAAAGTTACTTTTACTTTCACGTTACTTTTACGTTACTCTTTCTCAACTGGGCTGTGCTTGCTTGTTTGACAAAAAAGAGAAAAAAACAAAAGTTCTGTTTTTGGCAAATGTAAAGGTCCTTTCATGCCAAAAGTGAAATGAATAAGCCTCAGGCTAAAGGAAGTGCAAATTCACGCCTGTACAGTTGAGAACGCAGCTCAAAGAAAACTTTCAGTTGTGCTGCCAACTCTGGATCACAGAAGAATATGACGCAGGAGAATAAAGTTCAACACTGCAACTTCAGCATAAAATAAATAAAAAATGAAACACAAATGCCATTTAACTAAAGCCATTTTTGCTTAGCATTGTTGGATCATCGAAGGTCAGCAGCAAAGACATTTGTTAATAAAGTGAGATTAAATACATAAAGGCCCGGTTTCACCGACAGGGTTTAGATTAAGCCAGGATTATGCTTTAGTTAAATTAGGACATTTGTAGTGGCTTTTTTAAACTTTAAAAACATTTTAAATCTTAAGCATTGTCTGTGAAACCGGGGGTAAGTATGTTTGTGTTGTTTAACATATTTAATTATTGCAGGTCTGCATAAACTGTATTTGCATTTCATTTAGAAGAACACTGAATCTGTTTTTGTGCAAGTAAGATGAATCATGCTCACATTTAGTCTAGATCTACGATAAGTTCACACGGCCCACACAATGCCACTGCACCTTTAATAATAATAATAATAAGTTTAATTTATATAGCGCCTTTCCCAAGCTCAAGGACGATTCACAATAACAGTAAAGAACAAACAATCAGTTCACACATAAATGGACAATAGACATTTGGCCAGTCCAAGAAAATGAGCGATTGCAGTTGCATATCGCATTACATTTGGAATACAGACAAAACAAAAAAACAGAAACAACACTATTTACAGACAGACTGAAAGGTGGGCAGTTGAAGTAAAGATACAAAAGACTAATGGTACCTAAATTAACATTATGACTGTAATACAGAGTTAAGAAAAACATGTCATGACTGATAATACTGTTGTTGAAAGAAATGGGTTTTGAGTTTAGACTTAAATTCATGCAGCTTGGTTGTTGTCCTAAGAGCCAGGGGAAGAGAGTTCCATAGCTTAGGGGCTATAACGGAAAAAGACCGGTCACCCATAGATGAAAGACGAAATCTCGGCTCGCAGAGGAGTTCACAGCCAGAAGATCGGAGAGTTCGAGGAGGAATATAAGGAGAAAGTAAGTGAAAGAGATAGGAAGGACCAAGACCATTGAGTGACTTAAGGTAAGCAGAAGAATTTTGTAAGTAATACGGGATGACACGGGCAGCCAGTGGAGTTTGAACAGAATTGGGGTGATATGAGCAGATTGTTTAGTGTAAGTTAGTAATCTTGCAGCAGAGTTTTGAATATATTGCAAACGTGAGATAGAGTGTGCTGGTAGTCCAGAAAAAAGAACATTACAATAGTCAAGCTTTACTCCCGATTTCTTTCGACATGAGTACAGGAGAGCTGTTAGTCAAAAAAAAAAAAAAAGGGAGACCAAAGTAATTTCATTTACTTATTTGAAAAAATAATTTAATAAGTTTTTTAAATGTAAAAGTAATGTGTTACTTTACTAGTTACTTGAAAAAAGTAATCTGATTATGTAACTTATCTGATCTGATTATCAGACTATCTGATTATGTATAAATATACATTATAAATAAAAAAAAACAATAACAGAGATAATAATAATAATAGTAACAACCATATAATAATAAAAAATACATTATTATTCGTTTTTATTATTATTGTTATTATTATTATTATTATTATAATTAAATCAAAATACACACATGGATAAGGAACTGGCTTAAAAAGCAATGGCCAAGGGCTTTTTAGTCATACTTCAATCCGGCTGAAGAACGTGCTATGAATATATGAGAGCACATTAATGATACATCGTTGACTCATGGGTCAGAAATCCTTCTGATCATAACAAAAGGCAGAAGAAGAAACCATGGCATGTATGTGTGGGTGAGTTGAGCATGTGTTTTTAAGGATGCTTCACAGAAAGGGCTTGTAAGATTGACAGAGATGGCAAGGGAGAGAGAGAGAGAGTTCTTAATGATTTGTATCATTAATAATGTATGGCAGGCTCAGGGAACACGACGGCCTTCCTGCAGTCCATCTGGTAAATGACAGAAGAAAAAAAAGGAGGACAGGATCCAACCTGCTGCTATACCTCTATTAAAAAAAGAGGGAGATCATAGGATATATCAGGCAATGTGCCAGGTCATTATGCATAGTTCAATATATCACTTGCAGGTCCAAGATTAGTTTAGAAAACTCGTTGCCGTGTTATAATGAGATCGGTCAGATCTGATTGCAAAGCAACCTCAGTGCGGTTTCTGTTCGTGGTTCTTACAGAGCAAAAGGAAGGATGCGTCAGATGAGAAATGCACACTCATTAATATGCAGTACTGCACGCGATACAGTTGGACCACAGGAGTCCATCACACTCAAACACAAGTGCATGATTAAATACACTCAAATACACACATCTTTCACCGTCTCTCTAATCTAGCACATAAGCATCATGACGGGGACGATTATAATAGCCAAGTAATTCTCAAGGTCATCATTATCATGATGGAGAAAAGCGAGGGAGGAGAAAGAGGAACTAAATTGGGGAAAGGGGAAGAGACAGTGAGTGTGAGAAAGGGAG